GGACTGTGCACTACACTATTGTCAGAACTGTGCACTACACTATCGTCAGAACTGCACACTATACTATCGTCAGAACTGTGCACTACACTATTGTCAGGACTGTGCACTACACTATCGTTAGAACTGTGCACTACACTATCGTCAGGACTGTGCATTACACTATTGTCAGGATTGTGCACTACACTATCGTCAGAACTGCACACTACACTAAGGTCAGAACTGCACACTACACTATAGTCAGAACTGCGCACTACACTATCGTCAGAACCGCACACTACACTATCATCAGAGCAGCGCACTACACTATCGTCAGAGCAGCGCACTACACTATCGTCAGACCAACAAATGTATCCATATTGATAGCAGCCACTTTTGAAAATCCAGTTGTGCTTTTACAAGCAAAGCTGGTAAATTTTAAAAATTGTAAAAATTATTGGTGGTTTTGATCCAAGTTAAAGGTTTTGTGTGATGATAAAATAATTCTATTTATCGTAGTAAGCATAGAGTATGCATTTATTCTCTTAAATTTCCACTCGAAACACTGAGGAGCACTCTAATTGGCACATGCTCAAACATGGCATTCTAAAAATGCCCCTAAATGCGTATATAAACAGCGTACATGTGTATACAGACGTGACTATCTGTTTGAAAATCATCTATAATACATGTTTTTGTATTGCATGTCTACAAAGTTCCCATTCAAGTGCCTGAGTCTCCCAGGCCTAGACCACACAACTTTTTTCCCCATGAGAATACAAAAATGACTAATTTACAATTGGGTCTAAACCTGTATGATTTAAGGAATAATTTAAACATTCGCCTCAGGTAGGTAGATATATTGCACAATTCACAACATAAGGTACATAAGGAGTGGATTATACAATATAGTATTTTATCTTATACTAACACAAAAATAATTTTAAAACACCAAAGACCGTGTTCAAAAAAGCATCTTAAAAGTTTGACTTGCAACTGTTGTTAAATGAAATGAGCCCTGGAACAAGCATGCAGTTATTAAGATACACTGCAAATTCGTGCAAGTATTTCAGCATACAAAGGTTTATTTACATGCTTGTAATATCGTCTCAAACAACATAATTCAAAAAAAAATTAAAACACCAATTATATTTGCCGTAGACCTTACTTGGAGGATCAACAAAACTTATAAGTTCACAAGCGAGCAGACGTTTGTTTTTGGTGTTGCTCGTGTAATTCTGGAAAAAGAAATATTTTTCTCATGCTTTTCCATAGTGCAAACTTATATTTTTTTTGAATTCATTTGTGTATATATTAATCACATTTGGGGCCTAATTGTAAAAATGAAAAACCATGGTTTGCATAATTAAAACTACGGCCTTAACCAATCAGAACGATGTGTATATACTATTCACATTTGGGGCCTAATTGTAAACATGAAAAACCATGGTATATCATCTAGCTAACCATGGTTTGCATAATTAAAAACATGGTCTTGACCAATCAGAACGATGTGTATATACTATTCACATTTGGGGCCTAATTGTAAACATGAAAAACCATGGTATATCATCTAGCTAACCATGGTTTGCATAATTAAAACTACGGTCTTGACCAATCAGAACGATGTGTATATACTATTCACATTTGGGGCCTAATTGTAAACATGAAAAACCATGGTATATCATCTAGCTAACCATGGTTTGCATAATTAAAACTACGGTCTTGACCAATCAGAATGATGTGTTCAGTTAATGTATTCAGGAAGCAAGCATCAAACTAGAAAAACATTGTATTTAAAAAAAAAAAATTCAATTGAAATCTTAAGGCTCAGTTAATGACATTAAAAATTGCATGCCTTAATTTTGTAAATATAAAAAAAAGGAAAAAACTGTTAGCAAGGTCTGCTTTTCAGAGAGCAGATGGAGATTGAAAAATACTTGGGTGCCGTTATTGTATTTTCAGGTAATAAATACATGCAGAACTTAATTAACATTGAAATGGCATACCTGTCAGAAAACTAGTCAAAAGCCATTTGTGAATAAAAAAAGCATCTGGGAAGATTTATAAGCACATACAATTTAAGTATTGTGGGTAATCGCTGTATATTAAGTAGAAAAAACATCTGCTCAGTATAGTGAAACATCAAGTTCAAAGTCAGCTTATCTGATCTATTATTATCAGAGTGAATTAATAGCATTTAGTGGCAATTGGTCACACATGAACCATATATTATGCAGCTCAATAAAACTAAGTGATGGAATCTTTGAGCATAAGTACTGGAAAGCATGTTAATTGGACTGCAAAGAATCGTACAGACTGAAGGGAATAACATGTTAATTTACCCCCAGATAAATAATAAACAATTTCCAAAGTAGAGTTGTTGATGTAATTTACATACTGTAAAACACTTTATTTTCCATTGGAATTAATTTTCGCTATTTTTACTGAAGGAATGATTTAGTGAAAAGTAAAATCCAGCCAGTGAATATACCTTTTTTTCCTGTATTTTACATTTTCAACTCATCAAAAATCAGTGAAAATACAAAATACAGAAAAAGTCTTTTCAGCGAAAAACTAATTCCAGCTAAAATAAAGTATTTTACAGTATTGCCATCGTTGTTGATAAAAATGTGAGAATTAAAATTAATGCAAGAATGACATGATCAGGTCAAGTCTACAGTTCGAGCGCAACTTACAGTGTAACATTTTGCTAATCCAAATTTCCATATAGCAAAGTGTACAATCTGTTAATCTGTACTTTGCATATAATTTACATATACCTATATCCAAATACCACATGACATAAGGTAAAATTATGGATGACAATAATACTCACTTTAAAAATTACAAGTTTTTATGGAACAGCAAATTACACCCAGCTTGCTATGCCAAAACTGTACTGTATATGTACTGAACTAGTCTTCTCAGAAGCTTTTTATTGATTTTCTGTGAATCCTAAAAAAACTTGTGAAAAATGGTTTGGTTTAATTATTGAGCGACTCCATTAATTACATTACGCAATATTTAATGTCATGAACTACATTTTAGGGTTAAATATTCATGAATTTTTGTATATTTAGACCAAAACCCATGTGTAGATGAAA